AACATTAATGACAGGGGACCACCTGAGAGGCACAGATTGAAGACAGAAGAGAGATGCATTAGTAGGTATGATGTTCTCAAGAAAGTGGTAAGGAAGGAGATCTTTCTTTCTTTTTCTTTTTTCTTTTTGGTGCCATCCTAGGGCTTCAACTTAGGGCTTAAGTGCTGCCCCTGAGCTTTTTTTACTCAAGGCTAACCCTCTAGCATTTGAACCAAAGATCCACTTCCAGCTACTTTACTAGGTTATTGGCCATAAGAGTCTTACAGACTTTTCTGCCTGGGCTGGCTTTGGACTGCAATCCTAATATCACAGCTCCCAGAGTAGCTAGGATTACAGGTTTGAGCCTTTGGCACCCGGCTGCCAAAATATCTTATTGGCATGTGTGAGAATGTCAGTGAAATTCATTTTTGTACAATGAATACACAACAACACACCAATAAAAATACCAATACTGGTATTGGGCTTGAATTTAGGGCCTGGATACTTTCCCTTAGTTTTTCGCTCAAGGCTAGTCCTCTATCCCTTGAGCCCCAGTTGTGTTGCAGACAACAATGGCGTGGGGCACTCATGGTATAGCCCCTGTATTGCAGTATGATTTTTGCCTAGGTGCTATTGGTGCTAGTTCTGCTACCAGCAAGGGTCTTTAGGCTAAGTACCTTACAGTCTAAGAGCCTAAACCATTTGTGCTCACCCCAATCAGTGATGGGGCCTGGATACTATGTGGGGAGAGGCAGTGGTGACAAGAAAGCACCCCTCACATGGCAAGACAAGGGATAGGTGTAGGGCAACAACAGAAACTACATAGATGGGGTAGCAGCAGGAACTACGTTTATCATTTCTGTAAATATCAATGTATGACAAAGAGAAGGACTGTAGCTGGTACCAGGTAATGTTTTTCTTGGCATTCTTACCAAGTGCATCTAGGAGTGCAAAGTGGAGCCAGGGCTTTATCTTCTCCCCTACCCCTAGATCTCTTTTAGCATGCACTTAAGTGTGGGGAAATTAGTAAAGCCACAGATTCCCTTATGGGTCCTACAGTGACCCTGTACAGGAAGGGAAGCAGGGAGAACCACAAGGTTCTATCCTTATCCTGTCAGAATCTGGATGTCACTCAGCAGGAAAGGCTGGTGGAAACCGTAGAAGCTGCAGGGGGGGGGGGGGCATCAGCAGCCATTTTGTACCTCTTTGATGCTTTGTTGGTACTGCCTTGTCCAGGAGCAGTAATTCACATGGATTCTGATGAAGTTGCAGTTAGTTTCCCTCTGTGCCCATAGCGGTACATCAATCAGGACGCCCAAAAGTGTTCAAGGTCTCCTCAGTGTATGCACTGTATTAATAGCAAGTGCCTGAACACAGTGCAGATGGAGAAACGTGGATGGCTACCTTCATTCTTTGCAATGTGGTAAATGCATCATAGGCTGCTGAGCTCTTTCTGAGAAGGCAATTGCCTTCATCTTTTATTTTTTCTGGATTATGATATCCATTCCCTACATTCAGGACATTTATAGGTCACAGTCATCATATTGGGTTAAATTAGGTTCATAAAGCTTTTACTTCCAAGCAGGTACAACAGAATGTCTATGAAGTCCCAAAGAGGTGGGCATGTAGAGATTTCTGAATGGGAGATCTCAGACAATAACTCACTTCTCAAGAATGCTCCAGGCTTCCATACTTTAGGTGTTCACTAAAGAGATATACTGAAGAGACAATGTGAGATCTTTTTTCCAAAGCAAAGCTATGGAAATTTTAGGTTATCTATCTAAGTGGGTTACAATTCTTATGGGTTATAAGTCTTATTTTTATGAAATTGTCCAGAAGCAAGGACTGCCAGATCCTACATTGTTAAGGCTTGCTGTGGCTGCTTTTCACTTTTTTATTTTGTGTGCCAGTATTGGAGTTTGAACTCAGGGCCTGGATGCTCTCTCTGAGCTTTTCTGCTCAAAGCTAGTGCTCTGCCAAGCCACTCACAGCTGTACTTACAGGCTTTTTTGTTAGTTAATTGGCAAAAGGAGTCTCATAGAGTTCTCTGTCTGGTCTGGCTTCCAACTACACTGCTCAAATCTCAGCCTCCTGAATAGCTAGGATTATAGACATGAGCCACCAGAGCCCAAACTGCCATGCATTCTTATATCCTGCAAAGGAAAGACTCCCTTTCTCTTGTCTGTATATCTAGGTTGAAACATGCCATGGTAGTTTGTTTTTTTTTTCTTTTTCTTTTTCTTTTTTTTTCTTTTTTTTTGGTCGGTCGTGGGGCTTGAACTCTGGGCTGGGCCTGGGCGCTGTCCCTGCGCTCTTCAGCTCAAGGCGAGTGCTCTACCGCTTGAGCCATAGCGCCACTTCCGGTTTTCTAGTGGTTTTATTAGAGATAAGTCTCATGGACTTTCCTTCCCCGGCTGGCTTTGAACCGTGATCCTCAGATCTCAGCCTCCTGAGTAGCTAGGATTATAGGCGTGAGCCACCGGCGCTCAGCTTGTTTTTTTTTTATTATACAGTTGTTGTAGGTCTCTCAAACTTACAAACTTCTAGTCTATCTTGATAATATTTTCTCTGTCATGGATCTTCATCATCATCCTTTTAAAATCTATTTATTTTATCTCCTTACCCCTACTTAATGGAGACTGTGATCCACTTATATTAGAATTATCCCTGATAGAGATATTATTATTAGTTTTGTGGTTGTCTTAATAATATTTTATGCTTTTTTCTTATCCATATATATTTATATTGTAAAAATACTGTACTGAGGGTTACAGTTATATGAGTAGGGAAATGAATACATTACTTATCAAGCATTGTTACTTCCTCCTTTGTTTTTCCTCTACTATCCCTTCCTTCCCAACATCCCCAATTCCTTCCTCCCCTCCCTGAAATTGTAAAGTTTATTTTCAACATAGTGTCATACATCTCACTGTTACAATGGGTCAACCTGTATCTTTATTTCAGTATTTTGTTATATCCCTTCCCCTCCCCAAATTATAAAAATGTATATACAAGATTCAGGACACCAGAATCAGATACACTGAAAACAGGAGTTATACCTTGGTAGAAGAACATACAAAAGAAGCAAAAGAATCACATAGTGCAATATAAGTATGTTAAAAACAATAGCAAGAAAGAAAAAAAGCATTTGTGTCCCTATCTTGGGGTTCCTTTCACTTAACATCATCTTATATGGTCATATGTACATAGCTTTTGATCCTTTCTGCTTGCACTAGACTTATACTAGTTGTTGCAAATAAGGGAAACCGTGGGACCTACATTTCTTTGGGCCTGGCTTACTTCACTTAGAATAATTTTTTCTAAGTCTTTCAATTTCCTAACAATTGGGACAATGTCATTCTTTCTGATGGAGGCATAGAATTCCAATAGATAGATAGATAGATAGATAGATGGATAGATAGATAGATAGATGATAGATAGATAGACACACAGATAGATATCACATTTTCTTGATCCATTCATCTACTGAGGAGCATCTGTCAATGTTGTCTTGATTTTCATTTCTTTTATAGCTAGAGACGATAAGCATTTCTTCATATGTCTAATGGCCATTCTTATTTCCTCTTCAGCGAAGTTTCTCTTTAAGTCTTTAGCCCACTTATTTATTGGGCAGTTGTTTCTTTGAGGATTTGTTGTTGGGATTTAATTTTTTGATTTCTGAGTACATTTTCGATATAAGACCATTGTCCATTTTATGGCTAGTGAAGATCTTCTCCCAGTCCATGGGCTTTCTATTGATCTTGATAGCTATGTCCTTTGCCATGCAGAAGCCCTGATGTTTTATGCAATCCCATTTGTCCAACTTTTTCTGATTTGTTGTGTTTCTGGGTTTCTATTTAGAAAATTTCGGCCTGTGCCAAGGAGCCCTATAGTTTCTCCTATTCCTTTCTTTAATGTTTTCAGGGTGTCTGCTTTTGTTTCAAGGTCTTTGGTCCATTTGGAGTTGATTCTGGTGCAGGGTGATAAATACGGATGTAGCTTTATTTTTCTACAGGTGTTTAACCAATTTTGCCAGCACCATTTGCTGAAAAGGCTGTCTTTCTTCCATTCTATTTCTTTAGTTCCCTTGTCAAACATTAGGTGGCTATAGGTCTGTGGGCTCATTTCTGGGTCTTCAGTTCTATTCCATTGATCCTCATGTCTGTTCTTGTGACAGTACCAAGCTGTTTTTATTACTAGGACTTTGCAGTAGAGTTTGAAATCTGTTATTTATATTCCTCCAGCACTGTTGTTTCTGCTAAGGATAGTTTTTGCTACTTGGGGTCTTTTATTGTTCCATATGAATTTTTGGATTGCTTCTTCTATTTCATTGAAGAATGAGGTTGGGATATTGATAGGTATCACATTGAATTTGTAGATAGCCTTTGGCAGTATTGCCATTTTCATGATGTTAATCCTCCCAATCCAGGAGCATGGGAGGTTTGTCCACTTCCTTAGTTCTGCTTTAATTTCCTTTTTCACATTTTTAAAGTTTTCGTCATAGAGTTCCTTCACTTCTTTAGTTAACTCCTAGGTATTTTATACCCACAAAAGCATATCATCTGCAAAGAGGGAGAGTTTTACTTCATCTTTCCCAATTTGGATCCCATTTATGTTTGCATCTTGTCTTATTTCCCTAGCTAGGCATTCTACTAACATTTTGTACTTTCTAACTATATACTTTTTTTGGCTGATCCCGGGGTTTGAACTCAGTGTCTTGATTTCTGTGCTTGTTCTGTGCTTGTGAGTCACGGCTCTAGCTCTATTTTTTTCTGGTGATTTTGGAGATAGAGTTTTGTGTATTTGGGAGTTCCTTGTAGTGTTTCAGAATTTTCTTAGTTCTTGATCACATTTTTCTTTGATTTTCCTTTTGCTACTTAGACATGATCCTTTTAAGTCAATGATTACCTTGTTTGCCTTCTCAATCTTCTGTTTATTCTGTTTAGTGATTTTTTTATTTTTAAGGTGTACACTTTAATTTCAAACTCAAGATAATTACTATACAAAGTAGGACTTTGTACAATAAAGTATTAATAATAATAGATAATTCTGTGTTTGTTACATAAATATTATATGCTTATTCTTCACATTGATAAATGTGGGGCCTAATGGATCACAACCATGGCAATGTAGCCTGTGATTTCAAATCAGTGGAGGCACTTCAGGGTTATCTTCAAAGTCTGGATGTTCCCCACCAGGTGTAATTTTGGGTTCATATCTCAACCTTCTGGATGCATGCTGATTTTCTTGAACTATGGTAGTTATATCAGGGCATGAATGTTTGCTTGGATCAACTTCTAGTTTCTCAGTTTGCTTGCTTAAGTTTGTTCTCAGTTTCTTTCAGTAAGGTTTTCACATATTTGTATGCTCGTCTACCATCTGTGATCACTTCTTTCACTTTGGGCATGCAGATCACCAGATGTCCCATTGTCTGAGACTTTTTAGTAGGGATATTGTCAGGCTTGACTTCTACTGGAAGGATGAGCTGAAATGGCTTCCCTCTAACCACTATTTGGACATAAGTTGACTGCACATCAACCTCGATTAAAGAGGCATCCATATACCTAGAGATGGGCAGGTCCAGAATGATTTGGTTATGTTTTTCATCATCTTTCAAAGAAAAGTCAAGCTTGGGTGCATTGACATTTAAGGCCTTCCCATCCTCAGTGACCAAAATCTGGGGCAGTTTCACTGCCTTCCTTTTGTCACTTAATTTCTCTTGGGCTTTCCATTGTTTTTCTACATATCTAAGAGTTTCCAATCTAGATTCAGGTGTAAACACAGGTGGTTTATTCCAGAATGCTAGGTCTTCTTTACTTTCATCTGATTTCTTAGTGTTTTGTTGCCCTTCTTCCATTTCTGGTGCCTGGACATAGCCTTCGCTCTCAGTAGAAGATGGGAGAGCAGGAGGGATGTCTGTGTCCCAATGCCTATCAAAACCAGGGCTGCATCTTTGTTTGTTGTCTTCCTTTTCAGGATCTTCCTCGTTTCCTCTATTCCTCTTCTTTCTTTTTTTAAAGTATTTTTTTATTGTGAAAATACCATACAGATGGGTTAAAATTACATGAGCAAGGTAATGAGTACATTTCTTATCAAGCATCGTTGCCTCTTCCTTTGTTTCCCCTTCCCATCCCTTCCCATCTCCCTCTACCCCACCCCCTGACTCCCACCATGCCAAAGTGGTAAAGTTCGTTTTTCGACATAACCTCTTGTACATCTCATTGTTGCAATGGGTCCACCTTCCCCTCCACAAATTATACCTACATCAAATACGGTGAAAACAGATTGGCTTTTTTGAAGGAGTAAGCCTGGTTCTGCTCTCTGATTTGCTGTTCAATTGCTGGATAGTCCTGAAATGCCAGAATCCTTTCTGAATACTCTATTTCTTGACCATCCAACCACTTTAGCTGCTGTAGGGTGGCCACCACGAACTGTGAGTAGCCATCGAAATCAGCACAGGGATTCCCCATGCAGAAGAGGTCCTTCAGGTGGATATTGTGCTTCAGGGTTTTAATGCTGCTCATATCCCCAATGAAATTTTCTTAGTTACTTTTAGTCTGCTCTAGAACTTTTATGCAATCTTTTTTATAGCTTTTGTCTTTTGTTGGCTAGTGTCCTCATTTTCCTTACACATTGAATTCCTTTAGTGTTTTTTTTTTTTTACTTTAATGTTCTGTTAGCTTTGTTAAGTGTACTTAAGATAGATGTTTTTGCTTTGTTTTGAGTAGTATTGGGATTTGAACTAAAAGCATTGTGATTGTTAAGCAATGATCTATCACTTGAGCATAGATTCTCTGTTTTTTTTTTTCAGTAGGCAATTTTTCAGATAGGGTCTCATAGAGTTTGTCCAGGCTGGCCTCAAACTACAATCGCTTAAATCTCTGCTTCACAATAACTGAAATTATAATGTGTTCCACTGAGCACAACCTAAGACCACTGTTTTAAAGTTTTTTCCTAAGTTCTGTGACTTTACTTCCTTAGGGTTAATGCTTGTCAACTTATAGTATTATCTTGTGCTATGTTTTCCTAGTTTTGTACGCATCATGATTTTTTTTGAAAATTGAGTTTTAATAATTATAATATGGTACATATTAAAATAAAATTCTTTCCCTTCTCAAGATTTGATTTTTTTTATCATTAAAGGATGTTATGGACTATTTGTTTAGACTACAAAAATATTTTTGGAAAGACTATTTCCTCCCATGTGTTATTACCAAAGTCTCTGTTCTTTTAGCTTATTTTCAACTAACGTTTTGACAGAGATTTCCTGGATTGCCAGGAGCTCTCTGTATCTGAGGATATTCTCTGTCCTTTGACACTCTTAAAATGTATCTAGATTTTCTCTGAGCCCAGCAATCAACCCAATTAGAAAGTATAACATGTTCTAAGGTCTTGTGTGAATGAGAATGTGTGTCCTGGGCATGTGCATGTTTCACTAAGCTGTTGTGTACATGGTTACTTGAGGGAGTCCTAATTTCCCCAATATTTTCTCCCCAGGGTTTTCTATTGACTTCATCCATAATCTTTGACTCTAAGTAGCTGTGAGTCTGTAGTTGCTTTACAACTTTTACATACACAGCCTGCTTATATCCCATCTGACTTTCAAGTTAGGAGAAAGATAAATGAGTGCTTTCCTGGAGCCTTTCTGGAATCCCTTAGATGGTGAGGGCACATATTCAGTCTGCTCTGCTCCCCTTGTTTTGAGACATTACAACTTGTCTTACAGACTTTAAGATGAACAAAAAATAACAAAACTTTACTCAAAAACTGAATCTGATGGAGTAAGGATTTATAAAATCCTGAAGAATTGGAGTTTGATACCTGATAATAGGTGATAAATGACAATAAATACTGAAGTGTAAACAGAATGGGACAATATGGTCACAAAATAGAATATAAATGTTAGGGTATTGTTTTTTGGTCCATCATGGGGTTTGAACTCTGGGCCTGACTGCTGTCCTCAGCTTTTCAGCTCAAGGGTAGCGCTCTACCACTTGAGCCACAGCGCCACTTCTGGCTTTCTGGTGGTTTATTGGAGATAAGTGTCTCATGGACTTTCCTGCCCCAGCTGGCTTTGAACCTCGATCCTCAGATCTCAGCCTCCTAAGCAGCGAGGATTGTAGGTGTGAGCCACCAGCATCTAGCTGTTAATGTATTTTTGAAACAGAGACGTTAAAGATGGGAACATAAATATTTTGATTCCGGTGCTCTACATTTTTCTAATTTGGGGAGGGGAAGGGAAATAACAAAATGCTGAAATTAGAATACAGGTTGACCCATTGTAACAATGAGATACACAAGACACTATGTTGAAAACGTACTTCACAGCTTGGGTGGGGAAGGAGGAGGTTGGGATGAGGGGAGGAAAGGAATGGTCTGGGAAAAAAACAAAGGAGGGGGTAACAATGTCAATAGGAAGTGTACTCATTACCTTACTCATGTAACTGTAACCACTTTGTACAGTATCTTTACAATAAAAATATATTGAAAATATTTTAATTATCTTTAAGTAATTGTACAAAGGAGTTACCATTTAACAAAGCAGTTTATTAAAAATGGCAATCGTAATCCCATATCCTAATTCATCCTATGGGCTTAAACAAAGCCAGGAATTAGCTGCAGTATGTGCTAAAGGAAAAATTAAGGCGAGGTAATTATTTTATTTGAACTTGAGACTGCTCAGTAGAAACTGTACCTTCCATGTTATTGTTTAATGAGGAAATATAACTTTGTGTGTGTATTTTAATTGTTTTAGTTTTGCAAATGAAGTAGGTTAAATGAAAGAAATAAATTTTTTTTAATTATTGAAACTTGGAGATTAAATTATGTACTCTACTTATTTTCATAGTTCATGAATTATTCATATAAACACATGAATTCAATGTTTATCTTACTCTCTTTTATGTGTACCCATAATAAATGATAAGATATAACTTTTTCAAGCATAAGTAAAACATTCACTAGCACTTATTATCATAAGATCCCAAAGAAAGTGTTTAATTAAAGATATTTTGTAGTCTATAATAAACTTGTATTAAAAACTAGAAACTAAAGTCATTTAAAAATCTTGTGTTAAGCCCAACACTGGTGGCTCACTCCTATAATCCAAAGTACTCAGGAAGCTGATACCTGAGGATCACGGTACAAAGCCAGCCTGGGCAGGAAAGTCTGTGAAACTCTTATCTCCAATTAAGCACCAAAAAAGTCACAAGTTGAGCTTTGATCAAGTATTAGAGCATTAGCTTCAAGCAAAAAAGCTCAGGGACAACATCTAGGCCCTGAGTTCAAGCCCAGGACTGTGCACACACACATGTGAGTGTTCACACACACACACACACACACAAAATTTTGTGTTATTATTACATCAAAGCAAAAGTTAAAACTGTAATCATAAGATAAACAATAAGAACACCACTGTGTTCTCAAGACAAGAGGAAAAAAGCAAAGTCACATTAACATAAAGTAAACAAACTCAAAGGATTATAACAAAATACAAAGGCATGCCAAGTAATATACAAAGGTGGAAATAATTTTTAAAAAGCAAAACAAAGATTAAGAAGATTTATAATAAGAAATCAGGTGGTAATTTCAAGAGCTGATTAGTTGAAAACACTCAATAAAGTATACAACTATTTGAGAAATCAAATGGCAATAAAAGTAAAAGAAAGTAAGAGAATAAAAGAGCAAATTTGCACAGACACAAAAAAAGAAAAATAGAATCACAACTACAGGGGAGATTGTAAAAATTAATTTGAAATAGTGTACATAGAGCTATGCTAACAAAATATAAAATATTGATGAAATAAACAATTTCTGAGGAAATGCAAAAATTAAAGTTAATGAAAAGCTTTAATAGTATATAACAGGCATGAAAAAAATCTGAAAAATATGATCAAAACTACAACCTTAGCTAACATTAGCAAGAAAGTGGTAAAACTCATGTATTAATATAGTAGTGGTATAAATGCAAATTGCAAATACAAATAATCTTTCCAAGAGATTGTAAAAGTTTTATAAATGTTTATATGTATATGTATATATATATATATAAAATGTTATGGTTGTTGTTGGTCATGGGGCTTGAACTCTGGGCCTCAGTGCTGTCCCTCAGCTCTTCAGCTCAAGGCTAGTGCTCTACCACTTGAGCTACCAAGCCACTTCCAGTTTTCTGGTGGTTTATTGGAGATAAGAGTTTCGCAGATTTTCCTGCCTGGGCTGGCTTTGAACTATGATCCTCAGATCTCAGCCTCCTGACCAGCTAAGATTACAGGCATGAGCCACTGGTGCCCGGCTAATGTTTATATTCTTTAACCTAGTAATACCACTTCTGGGAAGATAATAGAGCAAGTTATAAAAGATTTTAGGGAGGGCTGGGAATGTGGCTCAGTGGTAGAGCGCTTGCCTTGCATGCATGAGGCCCTGAGTTCAATTCCTCAGCACCACATAAGCAGAAAAAAAAAAGCCAAAAGTGGCGCTGTGGCTCAAGTGGTAGAGCTCTAGCCTTGAGGTGAAGAGCTGAGGGACAGCGCCCAGGCCCAGAGTTCAGGCCCACAACTGGACCCCCCCCCAAAAAAAAAGATTTTAGGGAAAAGAAATTATAGTCTATGTTTTCTATATGAGAAAGATTGTTATTTACTATGAGGGAAAACGAAAGGAAGTATCAGATCATCTACAACTTCATCACTACAGGAAGATAACTTAAATCAAGTAAAACTTGAAGCAGAATAAAGAACTCAAGCAATGACTAAATAGAAAAGTTGTAAAACCATAAAAATTTGTAACCATAAAAAGTTAATGTTTAAATATGAATATGATTATGAAACTTCATGTCAATGTCACAAATAAGTCTCAAATGACACATGACATAAAAGTAGAAAGATGATACATCTTCATCATATAAAGTCTATCAAAAGATTCTATTTTTTCTTTGAATCTGATATAAAAATTGTATTTTCAAATACCCACTACAAGAGTAAGACTAGAATGACTTTCATTTGCTACAAAATAATAAGTACACCAGCCTTTTGTGACTCATACATTTATGAGGTATGAGGCTGAGATCTGAGGATAGAAGTTGAACTCCAGACTAGGTAGAAAAATCTGTGAGATTTGGATCTCCAGTTAACTACCAAAAAGCCAGAAGTAGAGCTGTGGCTCAAGTGGTAGAGCACTTGCAATGAGCAAAAATAAATTCAAGGATAGAACCCAGGGCCTGAGTTCAAGCTCAAGGACCAGTAGAAAAATAGTTTCTATAAACAACATGTAAGAAAAAGAAAACAACCTACATTCTAGATTTTGCTCAAATTCCTCAAAGCATCAGCTCCATGGCATTGAATATAAATTCTCATTATTTTATTAGGAATCTAGTTAGGAAATATCAGTCTTGGGATTTTATGAATCTTACAGTGGGACACATGGGATAATAGAGATTATAGAAAAAGATTTTGAGTAGTCATTTTAGAGGAAAATTAAGAACCCTCCTGGCCCTTTTATTTCAGCCACATGGAAGGAAAAAACATAAGAAAAATGACTC